TATGTATATGTATATGTATATGTATATATATATATATATATGTGTGTGTACAGACATTTTGAGATATGATAGACATTAATTCAAGGATGAAATTTCAACCAGTTGAACATAAGCTGATATATTAGTCATTAGGAAAGAAATATTGTTTTTGCTGTCAAGGCCATGTAGCACTATGAATGCAGTATATCACTGTAGAGTGAACATGGCCATGACCGCATATTCACAGCTTTGGACTGATCACATGACAGCAGATGGCTGATTAAGATAAGATACACAAATTAAGAGAGACTAAACTGGAATGTGCTTTAAAATGAAGATGTGTATTTCTAGATAATGAAATGACTGGTAGTATTCAAGCATTTTGGAAATTCATGTTTAACGTAAAGGTTGCTTGAGTTCTAAAAATCCAGATAAATGTCAAAACTAGCTTACAGTGTAGTGTGGGAATCTTATGAATGTTCTAAAATGCTGATCAGTTCCATCCTCACCCACCATCTACAAGACACACAAGGGAACATCAGTCAAACCAGCAATGAGATGCAGTGTCACATGGGTTCATAAATCTCAAATGAACCCTTTCGAATTTTACCACTATGCCTTGAGTTTCCAGACAAATGAGTCTATGAGGATGTTATCAGGCGAGCTGACGTCAGCCAAGACAAGGATTTGCATCTGCTATTGTTGAGTGCATGCTGAGAGTCAGTTGGGGCTGGAAGAGTTTAGAGAGTGTCTAAGGATCTCTTGCCATGGCACCTGCTGAGGGCAGATGAGGACGGCTCTGCTGGGAGGGAAGTTGCCAAGGTGAATTGATTGAAAACGAGGGAAAGGAAGAGGCTAAATCATTCTACTAACTGACAGAGTAAAAGACAAATGTGTATTTTTCACTAACAAAGTCTTTTTTGGACATGTAAATACAGTGGTGTTTTTTTTTGTTTTTTTTTGGAACATGGAGTTAAAGATGAAAAGGGGTTTTCAAGCATCAAAACAATAAACATTAGACACCCACTAAGATGTTATTCGGTGTAAAAATACTTTATATACCAAACAATCTTGTCAGTACTACCACAGTACTTGTTGCTCATAACTATAAAAAGTCACCATATTCATTATCTCATCCATAAAAGCACCTAAAACCAAAACAAAAACTTTGTGCAAGAGGTCATGAAGCACGAGGCTGATGAATAGCACCAGGTTTGTTTTTCATGCTCTGGGTTTATTTCAGACTCTCTTTCACTTTGTTCGGTACATCTGAAAGCCTGTTTTTCTTTGCGCTGGCCATTTCTGATTGTTCTCATCATGTGAGCCCTGCTGCCAGAGCTCATTACAAAAGGGCGGTAGCGTCACTGGCATGTGTTTTCATGGCAGCGGTGTGTAAAAACAACATGCTGTTTTAAAGGTGCCGAGGTCAGGCTTTGGAATGGAGAGGGCAGAAGATAATATAAGGGTGGGCAGCAATATTTTTCTAGATGTAGTGATGCGTTTCCTTTTTTCAGAAATGATACCCTTACTGTTCAGTCCACCCTGAGAGATAAGGAGCCAGGGGCCATGTTTGGAAATTTTGTGGAATAATATGGTCATCTGCCTGAGCAATTGACCTTTTTATGATTTTCAATAAGACTATTTATTGAGGGTTGTTATAAAAGGTTGTATAAAATGAAGTGAAGGGAGACTAATCTGATTTTGTACAAATTGTTCCCAAATTTTGATATAATAGTGAATGATCTTCTTTGATTGAAGGGAAAAAAAACTGTATGTTGATTTCATATGGGGAAACCCTACTGAGGAAAAGGGAAGGCCCTGTCTGTTTAGATCATTTTCATGCTTTTTTGGCCATGTGACAGTCACACACTCGCTTCATGTGCTTACTTTTAGATTTAGGCTTTGACTCAACATCCTATTCACTGTTGAATTGTATAGTCCAAAATTAGCTGTTGACCATGCTTACTTGAGCATGAATTTTCTATAAATATTTAAAATATTTAAAATCAACTCGGAGTAAATATAATGTAAAAAGCATTAATTTAGTTCCAGTCATTTATATTTTTATGTTTTTATTTTATATATGTCTCATTTGCAGTCATTAAATTGAATATATCTGCTAAAGGCCACACTTTTCTCTAGATATTGACATTACGCACTGAAAACACTATGTCTATTCTCATTAGTGACTGCGTGTGAACCTACGGCCATGTCCACAGCTGAAGTGATGGACCATCCAGGAGACGCGAGCCTCCTCCAGTCCTGTGGAACAGCAGACAGTCTCGCCTCCCTGGAAGATGCCACCGCCGAGTCTACGGCAAAGTCAGTTCCATTTCATTTCTTGTTTTGTTTGCAAATACACTTGCATGCATGCATGCACACTAGGTCAGGTCTGCAACTAAATTCCCATAGTTATTTATACTTACAAGCTTGATTAGCCACATTAGTTTTGTGTTTGTAAACATAAAAAAGAAGGCATGTGGGATTGTTGTCATTGTATTAAAAACTGGTTGTGTTACCACTAGATGTTTGACTCTGCCAATGCAGGTTCATAAAATAAAGATACTTTTAACATAACGATAACATCAATACATTATTACATCATCACTTTTTATGTCCTTTACAGTTTTTTTAAATATAATTTTTCCTGTGATGGCAAAGCTGAATTTTAAGCAGCCATGACTCCAGTGTCACATTCTAAAATGCTGATTTGGTGCTCAAGAAACTTAATTATTATCAGTGTTGGAAGCAGTTGTGCTGCTTAATATGTTTGTGGAAACTGTAATAATGTTTTTATATTACAGTATTTATTTGAAAGATTTTTGTAACATTAAAAATGTCTTTACTGTCACTTTTAATCAAATTAATGCATTCTTGCTGAATAAAAGTATTCATTTCTTTCCCAAAACAAAAATCACTAACCCCAAACTTTTGAACATTAGTATATGTCAGACTGTATTATATACAGTACATCTTAAGACTTTATTTTAAAAGCACTGATAACATTGACATTCACATAGACAAACAACTGTGTCATGTGACTTCACTGCAAGGCAAATCAACCCTTATATGAATAAAAGACCACAAGTTTTGCACTATGGTGAAAGACATTAGCACTCATTTGATCTGAAGCTCACAGAATAATGTAAGGTGATACTCATGGCTGTCTGAGAGAGAGATGAAACTATTTAAACTCCAGAATGCTGCTTGTCTGGAAAAGTCATTATTCGATTTCCTGATTTCCTCACAGTGAGTCATCGGAGGAGGAATCAGCATGTGCCAGAACAGAGCAATCAAATACCAAAGCCCAACAGAGCATGCACACAGAATCAGGTGAGATCACACACTCTTGCTGATTTACAAACACTCGCAAATCACTTTAAACTCCCAAACACTTGGGTGAAAAGTCTAGAACACGTTCTCACTGTCTTACAAACAAACATACTCGCTTACTCTCGATCATACACACACATATGACCATAGCCGCCATTTTGAACACATGCCATATACATCTTTTTGAGGCCCCAAAACCACCATGTGTGCATTCAGTTCTGCACTACACAGATAAAGAGTGATGGAAAGCTGGCCAGAGCACTAACCCACAACTCACAATGAAAACTCTTATGTAACGTCAACTTTTCGAGAACTTGAGATCAGTAGGGCCTTTGAGTGCTCAGTAGAGGAAGTGTCTGAAAAGGAAGCTGCTGTCCCTATGCAAACTAACTTCCCTTTCCTTTAGACACGCAGCAGGATGACAGCGTTTTTATAGGAATTTTACAATCACATATGAGTTAAACAGTTGCAGAGCAATTTAAAAACAACCCATGTGTGAACTTCCAGAAGTTCCATCGCTCTGCTGTTGTCTGTCGTGTTTACATAAGATAACAGCTTTGATTGAGGTCATCAAGTCACATGACCTTGGATTACAGGTCAAGCTGCTGTGATGGCTTTGTTTTTCATTTCAAACGGTTTTGCAGAAGTCTGCATATAGTTATAGGTTTATCAGACTGACGCTGCACAGGACGTTGTACAGTTCTTAGGGTGGCTTTCTTCCCCTTTCATGCACAGCTGCAAAATCAGTCAAGATACATTCCTGTTAATATTATTTTCTTCAACTATTTTAGTTTTTTAATGTGAAGTTTGTAATTTCTGCTCCATTAGCAGCCAAAGCAATAATTGTTTCCAAGCAAGTATTTCTGCCATAAACCCTTACAACTGGTGAAATAAACAGATTACATTTTTGTTTTCTAGTGAAAAAATGACACACTTCACCTTTAAATTTGAACTGTTCGCAAAACAGTTGTGCTGTTCCCAATAAAATAAGGTGTCACTTTCTGAAAGAGTTTGCATACTGATGTGCTCTGCTTTTGAAGCCTCATCAGAAACTCTGTGCTAGTGTGTGTATACTAGATTCTAGTGATGAATGTGGTGAAAGTGTGTGCAAGTAAATGTCCTGATAGTGTGTCACTAAAACATTTGATTTAAAACAGACGCTGCAGCAGAAATTCTTTATCGTCTGTGCAAACGAAAAGACCACACAGACACTTCAGACTTTAGAAACTGTGCACAGAAACACACAACATAGATACTAGAACAGATTTCACTAACAATAAAGTTTTACTGTGTTGCTCTTTGAATATAATAGTTTGTGTTAATTATTCAGCATTTTGTTGTATCTCAAAGTACTACCTGATACCATAACTGTACCATGTTACTCATACAGCACTGTTTTATAGGGGTTGTCTGGTTACAATTGTGGGATTACATGATAGTCAGACAACACTGTGTAAAATAAATAGTTATTAATGGCAATAAATGGCTGTTCCCTTTGTAGGTGCCACCCCTCGTCCCGACTCGCTCTCCCTGCCCGCTAAGGGCACAGAGCTCTGGAATACACACAGGGATGGAGAGGTGAAGCTCAGGATGGGTGAGTCCGGCCCTGAGGCTGAACCCTCCTTGACTGTGAACCAGATGTTCACTTCTACGGTGCAGCGCTTTGGCAACTACAATGCGCTGGGCTGGAAAGATGGAGAGCAGTGGAAAACCATGACATATAACGAGTACTACAAGTCTTGCCGCACTGCTGCCAAGAGCTTCCTCAAAGTGAGGACTGTTAAATCAGGTTTTTTATACTACATACTATTTTAACAAAATCTCATAGCCAGTTAGACTGACATGTAAACCAGCAAAAATCACATCAGTGTTCACTGATCACTCAGAACCAATTGTGACAGACTGGCAACTAGCCTAAAACTTTTTCACACTGATCCTGGCCCATTGGGCCATATTGTTCAGCCCTAATTGTAATACAGTTTGGCAAACATACTAAAGGTGAGAAGCATTAACAGGCTGAGTTTTGAGTCTAGCACCTAGGTAGCATAACAGATTTGACCCATGGCTTTCTATTGTTTAGCAGTTGAGTAACTCTAGTAATTTTCATTATCTTCTTGCTGTCACTGTTGAGATTATGGCTGTTTAGCATTACAGGCTTATCTAAAATGACTCGGTAATGTCCCTGATACAAGGAACGTTTTTATGTCAGAGGTACCTGATAACACGCACTTAAAACCTAATAAACACACATAAACTGATGTAACTGTTATTGAGATCACAGACAGACCTCATGCAATCACTGTTGTGTCCTTGAATAAAGCATTTGACCTCAGGTTACCTCAGGGAGAAAGTGCCAGCAATAAGTGCACTGTGTGATAAGGCATCTGGAATGAGTCCTGGTCCTATTTCACCACAATTTCCAAAGACAGAAATAAGAAATATTTTGAATAAAGAAAAAGAATCCCTTTTTTGCCATTTTAATTCCTTTCCATTATGTTAATGAAAATTGTTTATGTTCACATTCAATGTTTTTGAATTGTGCACAACCCAGTCAGAGCCAGATTTTAGTCCCTCAGTTGTGCAGCTTGAGGATATTTGGCCACAGTACCTGAGAATAGTTTCTCTCTCCAGCGGGAGGCTTTTGTTTATCGTCTTCAGTTTTTCCATTTCCTAGTCTAGGGATGAAGTTCAACTCCCAACTGGTCACGTTCTCCCTGTGGGGAACAGGACGTCATGCCTGGTGGCCAATGTGGGCAGATTTCCATGGTTTTGTTTATGGAGAAATTAAAAAGGAGTGTAACTTGTCCAACTCAAACCCTGTGGGAGTGGTTCAGATTGAGTTGTGTATACCCTAGGCAACATAAACACAAAAGAAAGACATCACGAAAGAGGTGTTAGATGACACGACATGCGTTCGGTATTTTGGCTGATGTGACTTAAATTTTTAAATATGATGCAGCTTGGCACGTTCGTCCATATATAAAAAAAAAAAAAGTCTGATTCACAAAAGAATAATTATTTTAAACTGAAACTTTTTACTAAACTGCTTCAAATTGTTTATCTCCAAGTCTTCTTGCAAAACTTTAAGAATTGGATGATATTTTGGAGTTAATGAACTAGTGAACATCTTAAACAGAGATAAATGGCAGTATTTAACTAAACATTTATTTAACTGCAAAAAAGAACATGTAAATAAATTGCCATGTGGGACTTCTGGGAATGCTTATGAGTGATGACTTAAACAACTTCATCTTTTACATGCAAACAATATATTATGCTTCGAATCGGGCCTGCAATTTGAAATTTTGGTTTGAAATGTTAATGTACACATGCTAACGGTGTGTATATGTTCACAGCTTGGTCTGGAGCGGTACCACGGCGTCGGTATCCTCGGGTTTAACTCGGTCGAGTGGTTTATTGCTGACATCGGGGCTATTTTAGCTGGGTAAGTGTTTATTGTTAGGATGTTTTACACTCTGTCCTTTTATGAGTCTTCAAATCAACCATAAACATACATGCATTCTGCTGTCATAACTCATGATCAGAACACAGCCTGTGTTTGTCCCAAACCAGGCCCGGTTCTACGGGGGTGCTAGAGGGTGCTAAGCACCCTCAAACGAAATCAAAAGCACCCTCAGTTAAAGCTGTATTAATGGCATTTTTTTGAATACTTGGCAAACTATCCAGTGCGTGATGGTTTGCGCTCTGGAGATCGATTCTTATGTCAGTGTGTTTTTGCAGCGTTGAGCAATGTTAAATCAGAGGCATTTAAGTTAGAATTCACTCATCGCTGAAATCACCAGAGTTGTTCTGGTATGTGTTCAGCACGAATCATCTCATTATAACAAAGTGTTGATGCGTTGTGCAGCGTAGAGAACTTTATTGATAATAACATATCTTTGTGAGATCACGATTTAAGAAGCACCCTCAGTGATTTGATTCTGGAGCCGGGCCTGTCCCAAACAAAGCTTTAATCTTTTTCATCAAATGGTGGCTCTGTGGTGCCATAAACTGTCCAGCTGCCTTTATCACTTTAGTAAAGACAGATGGTTAAAGCACAACCTGCACTTGTTAAACAGCATCACGTAGTCTGGGTTGGTAAACATATAGGTGGAGTCAGAATGGTGGGAATGTTGTAAATGTTTGAAGTCGTTACCTGTTGTAGAACTGCTCGCCGTTTTGGTTACAGTTTTAACAGGCTTAAGGATGTTTATTGAGGGATTCTGTATGCCATTGGCAGGGGGTTTGCTGTGGGCATCTACACCACCAACTCACCCGAGGCGTGCCAGTATGTGGCGGAGAACTGCCAGGCCAACATCCTTGTGGTGGAAAACCACAAACAGCTTCAGAAGATCTTGCAGGTAATGAGAGTGAAGGACCTATCTAGAACCTTTTCTAAATACACTCAAATCAGAACTTTTATCTACACTACTATTCAGAGGTTTGGAGTCAGTGGGGATTTTACACTGTGACATTATTTTTAAGGCAATTAAACACATGTATGCCCTAAATCTCATAATTCATAAATGTTAATTGCCCTGCCTTTTGTCAATATGATTGTATGAAGTATATAGATAAAGAAAAACAAATTAAAATAAAAACTCATTAAGCTAGTAATTTCTGGTGCCAGTTCTCAGATCCTGAGAATGATCTTCAGGGTCTCTAGTTTAATCAGACGTTCAGTACCTGCTGATTAAACGCATCAAAAATTAGGTCTCCATCTGCTGTAGGCTTTTTCCTGATGATCTCTTATTCTGTGTCTGTGCGCTTCATTTCAGGTCCAGGACAAATTACCGCACCTAAAAGCCATTATCCAATACAAAGATGAGCTGAAAGAGAAAAAGCCCAATCTCTACACGGTACATTTGATTAGTAAAATATTTAAATTCAGCCCTCAGACCTTAATCTTTCTGTTTCAATCCCCCTCCATTACTAATTGAAATCTGACATTTGCTATGTAAATATCCGATGCACATAGTGGGCAGAGTTTATGGAGCTGGGCCGCGATGAGCCTGATGCTCAGCTGGATGATATCATCAGCTCCCAGAAACCCAATCAGTGCTGTACACTGATCTACACATCCGGAACCACGGGCCAGCCGAAGGGAGTCATGCTTAGTCACGACAATGTGAGTTGAATGCAAAACATAGCCCATATTTAACCCACAACATCCATAATAACTCAAAAACAAGGGTTTACATGAGTCACCAGTCATTCTCAGCACTAAAATGTTCTCTCTCCTCCTGTAGCTCACATGGACAGCATTTGCAACTGGCCGAGATGTGAGCCTGATAGATGCAGATAAGCTACAGGAAGTGGTCGTGAGTTACCTGCCACTCAGCCATATTGCTGCACAGATGATTGACGTCTGGCTTCCCATGAAAGCAGGAGGAGTCACATACTTTGCACAGCCCGATGCACTAAAGGTACACTTATATAATGCTTAGCTCAGCTGTTCCATCACAGGAATAAATAACATGTTTAAATATATTAAAATAGAAAGCATTTATTTTTAGTATTTCGCAATATTAGTATTTTTACTGTGCTTGTGATCAAATAAATGCAGCCTTGGTGAGCATAAAAGACTTCTTTCAAAAACATGAAAAAGTCTAGTGTACATATTAGTGAAGGCACTTCCTGTTTTCCTCCCCAATCTCTGTTTTGTGTACGTAAATGAAGGTCCTTCTAAAGACTAAATCTTGTTAGTTTAAACCAACTGTAGAATCCTTTTAAAGAGATTTTTCTCTGTCTTTTGATGAAACGTAAGCCTTAGTCATGCAGCTCACTCGCACAGAAAGGCTTTTGTGAAGCGTTTCATTTTCAGAAAACAAGCCAAACCTGTATGCAGATCTGCTGATACTATATTAAAACGGGTGTATGATGTGTGTCCTGTGATCTGAAGAAGCTGAGCATGTGATATCTACTGGCTCAATCTGTGGGTTTCAATGTAGCGCTACAGTGCTGTTTTATAATAGTCATTGATTTAGGATCACAGGGACAGAAACTGATATGACATACCTGCTTGTGTCACCTGATACAACCCTGGGTGTGTCAGCTGATGTTGGCATATACACGTGAACATGAACTCTTTGGCAAACCATGCTGAGACTGCTTACATGCGTATTAATAGAAGTCACTGTATGTTCCAGGGTTCTTTGGCTAACACTCTACGAGAGATACGCCCTACCGCGTTCATGGGTGTCCCCCGGGTGTGGGAGAAGATGCAGGAAAAGATGAAGTCGATTGGAGCCAAATCGTCCACCGTGCGCCGGAAGGTGGCGTCCTGGGCCAAAGACGTGGGCCTGCAGACCAACCTCAACAAAATGGACCTGTATGTACACACACACACACACAGACACAAAACAAGGTAGAAACATTTAGACACAAACATGACTGTCAGTCATGAACATATGACACCCATTTTTAACTGTCTGCAATTTATTTCACTTATATAGTTAGATCCAAAAAGTCTGAGACCACACTGAAAATCTGGGATTCAAAATCTGGTTTAAACCAGTTTTTAGAAACTTGAAACATTTAAAATTAAGAAGTAAAAAAAATTATTAACATTTTTTTTTTATTTATATTAAAAATATTTGTGAAGTTAGATTTCTTTCCTCCCAAACTGTTATGTTGATAATATTATTTACATTTAAAAAAAATGTAATAAATTAGAAAAATGCAAAATAAAGTGGTCTAGGCAAGTCGACTTAAGTGGAAAAAATACAATGTTACAAAAAAGTAAAATACGGCTTCTTAATTTATCTATTTTGAACCTCGTTTTAGAAATTTGAAACAACAGAATATTTGTGATGTCAGAGTTCATTCCTAAATAATAAAATACTAATAAATTAAAGACTTTTTAAACTTTTCAAGCAAACTTTTATTCTGCTAATATTGATTTAAATCGAAAATTATATTAAATTAGAAAAAAAACATTAGTTATGAATATTGATACATCACTTAGTGAAATTTTATAACATGAAATAATGTTAGTATAAACTGTAGGCTGTTTTAATAAAGAGAGATGGTCTTGTGTCCTCAGTAATGGCAGCCTGTCCAGAAAGCCATTAAACTATCGACTGGCGAAGCGTCTGGTGTTCCGGAAGGTTCGGAAGGCGCTGGGGCTGGATCGCTGTACGAGGTGCTACACGGGAGCAGCTCCCATAACCAAAGACACGCTGGAGTTTTTCCTCAGTCTGGACATTCCTCTGTTTGAGCTCTATGGCATGAGTGAGAGCTCTGGACCGCAAACCATCTCACTGCCCGATGCCTTCAGACTCACCAGGTACTGAAACCTTCATTTGTTTAAAGCTAGTTTAGTCACTTCAGCTTGAACTTCTAGTTTATTTCTCACTTGCATCTCTTTCTCAGCTGTGGAAAGGTAATTTCAGGCTGCAAGACGAAGATCTTCAACCCGGATGCCGATGGCAATGGAGAGATTTGTTTCTGGGGCCGTCATGTGTTCATGGGCTACTTGAATATGCCCGATAAAACCGAAGAGGCTCTGGATGCAGATGGCTGGCTGCACTCGGGTGACCTCGGAAAACACGACCAGGATGACTTCCTGTTTATCACCGGACGCATTAAAGGTAATGACCATCAATCAAAAACAGATTTGTACTTCCTCTTATTCACTGGAACTGAAACCACTGAGCAGTTTATAATTTCACTTTAACACAGATTTCAATGTGATTTAGTCTGGTGCATGTAATGAAGTTTATGTTTGTATCCCAGAACTGATCATCACAGCCGGAGGTGAAAATATTCCCCCAGTGCCCATTGAGGATGCTGTTAAAGAGGCCGTTCCGCTCATCAGCAATGCCATGCTTATCGGAGACAAGAGAAAGTTCCTCTCCATGCTGCTCACCATTAAGGTATCAGTACAGGGCAGACGACCCCAATATAAACCTCTGTGTTAAGGTTGTCCACTATTAACCTAACCAGGTACAATGCGATAGAGCAACAAGTGATCTTATTCACACATCTGAGCTTCTTTCTTAACCAACCATGACTGACGAGTGTCATGTTTGATTTATATTTCTGTGGCCTAGTGCTAAGTGACTCTTTTTCACCAAAATCTCATCAGCTGTGATTTTTCCTCCGATAACTGAGACAAACCTCTTGTTGCATTGTGCCTGCTTAGGAAACATTGTTAAACATAGTTCATGACTAAAAAAATTATTGATTAATTTTTAATGGCCTTCTTGTGTAATCCTGGCCGATGTCATGCTCTCCTGAACGTGAATGCTGTAAATCTAATCAGAACATCTCATCCGAGGGCTCTTACACAAAGGGAGTTGGGTTATGTAAGTTTACTGAGAGATAACACTCATTTTAAAGATGCATGAGTACATTTTTACTACACTCTAATGAGATCATATCAGTATGATCAAGTGATAAATGTTTTAAGTGTTATCAAACAGCGTTCATAAACTTAAAGCCGCTGCCAACTAGTGGACAAAGTGTAACTACATGTTCTGCGGTTTTTCTCGGCATCACTGCGCCCCCTGGTGGCAACCAACAATACTAAAAAAATCCGTTTATAAATTGAAAAACGTAACTAATTAGAGGCGTTTGCTAAGGCAAGTGAGCACTAGTATTATAATATATACTTAATAAATACTGTTGCTCATATAATATTTCCTTAGGTGTGTAACTTGTCCCGTACCATTGTATTCTGATATGAATAATGACTCAAAAATGGTGTAGTTTGTTGAGTACATGTGATATTACTTCTCTAAGACACTGGATTTACAGTTTTTACGCAGTGGACAATAAAAAAATGGTAAAATGAGGGAACCGCATCATTTCTAGAGACCAAATTAAGAGAAACCCTAGCAACTGCATAGCACGTATTCGGAACACCTGATTAAAAGCCGTCGGAACACGTTAAAGGCTCAATATGTACGATTTTTTTTATTAAAATATCCTAAAACCACTAGAACAGTGTTATATATTTTGCTGACTTGTGTACTTACATTATCCCAAATGTTTCGAAGAATGTTTGAATCCAGAGAAATAAGCAATTTTAACTAGTGACACGGAGCATGTCAATAGTGTCATTGTGTCGCCTGCCAATGACGTCATAACCCCGCGATTTCCGGTTTTGTTTTGTAGAAAACATGGAAACACCAAAGACGCTTTAATATGTTGTGCGTTTTATTAGACTGGTGAGGGCCGCACAGAGTAGCATAATAACAGAACTTTCAAATGTATCTAGTATGATAAAACAGCGCTGCTTTTTTCCCCCCACATACGCACAACCAAGGAGCAGAAGCGGTCGACTGTGGCATAATAAAAGCTCCGCTGCTTTCGAGTCGTGTGTCACGCTCGTTCAGCAGTCTCGTTTCGCTTCAACGGCTTTCAGCCTCACCCTGCTTCATTCTACTACGTTAATAAATCATTAGCTCATCCATGAACATGATTTCTGCCCGAGTCCCGTCGGATTGCATCGGCTGTGGGGATGAAGACGACAACTCCCATGATTCCACACTCAGTCACTGCCAAACTACGCCTTTGCCTCTGTTTATTTTGAATACGCGCCCTCCAGCAGCGAAAATTACATATTGTGCCTTTAATAACCACATATTTGTGCACTGGCAACCACAACAACACCTTAGCATCATGACGGAGTGCTTTGCACACGCGAGCACAATTTAGACTTAAACTGCGATTTAACGTTACTTACATATTGACGGGGAAATGTTTTAATAAAAGACGTATTTATATTTAATCCAATATACATAACTTACCGTTAGAAAATGCTGATGGCTCGTCTGTTTTTTGCTCTCAGTGTCAGGTAAACAACGAAACGGGCGCTCCCGAAGACGAACTGAGTCCTGAGGCGGTGGAGTCGTGTCGTAAGCTCGGCAGCAACTCCACGCGAGTCAGCGAGATCGCCGGTGGCCGTGACCGAGTCGTATACGCAGCTATTCAAGAAGGCATCAACCGCGTCAACGAGAAAGCCACCTCTAATGCCCAGCGCATCCAGAAATGGACCGTTTTGGAGAAGGATTTCTCTATCCCTGGCGGAGAGCTGGGTACGTTTCCTAGTAATTAACTTTTTTGTTTGTTATTTAAGGCTTTTGTGAGTAAGGCTTTTATGTTGATTAAAGTCTATAGAGGCTGTTTGTTTAGCTGTTTTAAACTCTCTCTCACAGGTCCCACGATGAAGCTCAAGAGGCCAGTGGTCATGAAGATGTACAAAGACCAGATCGAGAACTTTTACAAAGAAGTCTTGACCCCAACCACCCCAGACAACCCTCTGCCTCCTAAATAGGTGTCCAACAAAAGGCCTTGTCACCCACTTCAGAGATAGGAGACGAAGGGACTGACATGGTCTAAAAAACACACTTACATAGGAACACCACTCAGACCTTGTGTTTTGCTTGTCCATTTTTGAGTTAATATTTGTTCAGGGTTTTGTAATTGTTGTTCATTTCATACTGTTTACATTTTTCTGTTTTATAGCAAGAAGGAAAACATGTTTATAAAAAACAAAAAGCCATTTGTGAATTTGACTTTTTTTTATTTTTGTTGTGATTTACTATTTATTTTCTTGCCTAATTATAATGAAGTGTCTTTTAAGCCATGTTCTTGATTTATATGTAAGTGCAGGTGACTTGAATGTCTGATAGATAGCAGTTAATGTATGGTTAAATTTATCAACAAAGTTTGAGAAATCTTAATACCGAACAAGCAAGCTTACACATCAGGCATGACTGAATACTTTGAGAAAAGCATTTTGTGGTTGTGCTCTTTCATCAACGGCACTGCTGCCACCAAAAACACTGATTGTTTAAAGGAAACTAGGTGTTTAAGGAACAACCACGAGACGTTCTGTGAAGATCATTTAGCAAGAATCCCGTTCCATATAAGCCATAAATGTTTCTGTTTGTATGTTTTTTGTAACCAAATGTGTCATTTGAATGTTTGTTTCGCTTATGCAGTTGGTTAATTTTGTCATTTGAAATTCTTTGTAAAATGAATCTGTTATATAGTGTAAATACATATTGCATACATTTGTTTTTCTGATTTGATGCTTTGCTGCATCACTCTGACAATCCTCAAAGTAGCAAGAGGTTGGATGTCATGCAGTCTCGTGTCAGCATGAGTTTTATGAAAAATTATATAATCTGGATTGAGAGAACAGGTTAATATTTATTTTATGAAAAAAGGGATGTGAAGGAGCTGGTGTGAGGAGGTCAGAATTTGATTCGCCAAGCTGTGTTGCATTATTTTTTGCTTTGCATGTGCAATAAGGATATTTCGACCAAAAATGTAACTGATTTTATTTCAATTGTATACTGCATAGTAAAAATGATAACAATGCAATATAGAAAAAGCATATGGATTGAGCAAAGAGGTTAAATGATCGAACTTTGGAAAGTTTGTGAATTGGGAAGTGCTATTTAATCAGTCAAGTGCAAAAACAACTGCAAATCACTTAAATGCAAACCCAAAGATATGATTTTCCCTCTGTAAATAGATTAGTTTTATCTCACTAAAGAGCTTTCCTCAAATACTGGACCTGTTACTTAAGTGTGTATACTCTCTGACTGCATAGCATGACCACAGCAAGGCCTTTTGTAAATATAGGAAGACTTTTAGTTTAATTTGTGCATGAAATGAGACGTTGAAGAAGTTGTTTGCTCAATCAGAATTGGTGAGAATGAAGGTAGAGCTAGTAAGTGATTTCCTTTCTTCTATCTGGGATTTCTATTATGGTTTCAACTAAATTACTCTAAATTCTTTTTCAAAATCCACTTGCAGTTTTTTATTTATTTAAATGATTTGTTTCTTTTTAGACAAAAATACTGTGACGGCTTAATGTAAGTCTGATCTAGATTTGGACCAGTTTGTAGGGCAGTCCGTTTAGAAATGCACAAACATGAACATGATGTGAAGTCTCCGACTGAAAGGTTTGCCTGGTTTTACCTGACTCTGAAAACTCTTGAACTGGGTGACGATTTGTTGTGTAGTGTGAAGTTAAGGGATTCTGAAACGTGCATGTATGTCATTGATGAATCTGGATTACTGAACATAGTTGATTTTGGGAGATGGAACTCCAGGTTTCTACTTGTATGTATGTGTGAATTATCCCTTTACTGGACAATAAATGTGATATAACCATGATCAAATCTTGAAAGGTCTTGTCCTTCGACTTGAAATTAATATTAATTGGTCACTAGGATCAAAAATCGCTCATAGCTGACTAGGCACGTGTCGTGTATAGTGTCATTTCAATGGAATACAGCTAGTAACTACTCTTTGAGATGTTTCTATACTTTGGCTAATGTTTTATGATTATTTTAGGATTGTTTAAAAAAATAATAATTTTAAAAAATTAGATCAGATGATGAGCTTGTAATAATTGTTAACCCAGGGCGATTTATTACCACAATGTGTATCAGGGCTTCATAAACCTGTGTTAAAAATTTGATTACAAATTAACAAATTAATAGAAACAGCGAGGATGCACTGAACTGATAAAAAGTGTCAGTACAGACATGATAGAAGATTTAGATTTCAAATAAATGCTTTTAATTCCCTAAAAATTAGGGCCGTCAAATGATTAATCACATTCAAAATAGAAGTTTTTGTTTACAGAATATATGTGCGTGTACTGTGTATATTTATTATGTATATATAAATATACACACATGCATGTATATATTTAAGAAAAACATTATGTTTATACATTAAATATATTTATAAATAATATGAATTATATGAATATACATATATGCATGTAAATACATGTAATATTTTCAAAAAATATATACATGCATGTGTGTGTATTTATATATACACATAGTAAATATACACAGTACACACACATATGTAAACAAAAACTTTTATTTTGGATGCGATTAATCGCGATTAATCATTTGACAGCACTACTAAAAATACTTTAAAAATGGATCACAGTTTCTACGAAAAAACATTAAGCAGCAGAACATAATATAAAATGTTTCTTGACCAAATAAGTATGAGGATGATTAGAAGGATCATGTGATGCTGAAGACTAGACTAATGGCTGCCGAAAATTCAGCTTATCCATCACAGGAATAAATTACTTAAAAAAAAAAAAAAACATTAAAATACATTCATTTTAAATTGCGATAAGGTGTCACAATATTACCGTTTTACCTGAATTTCCATCAAATAAATAATTGTAAATATTCATAAAATAAAACGCAATAAACGTACCTGTAATACAATACTTAACCTGAGATTTATAGATGATTAAGCAGTTTAGATGGCTCCTAACAATGAAACTAGTAATAAAAGACGCTGTGAACAGTACTCAATTGACTTTATTCATAATATGATTTTGCAATAAAAACATAAAAAGTAACAACTTTTGCCCTTATTACAACTTGCATCAAATGACCACATGGTGGCATCGTATGCCAAGTTTAACACATCATACTAAAGGTTACTCTTCTGTTCAGATCACGGAAGGTTTTCTATCACGTTATCGGTACATGTAAAAACCCAGACCTCCCCAAACCCCACGGATAAATACAGCAAGTTCTTCCTCGCTCACAAACACAAATAAAACCACCACTGACTGACAAAAGACAGCTCTCTGAACCTGCAAGCGAAGTATGTGAAAATGATGCAGTATTAACCGTCGATTAATATTTCCTCAGACTCCTGTAGATTTGACGCCCACTGTCTATGTGTATCTGTGTAATATGACTGTCTGAAATATTTGCCCCTCCATTAGTGTTACTTTGCTGCATCCCATGTACAAAACACAGAAATTCTCCACTTTTCTGCTGGAAAAAAAAAAAAAAAGCTTAGCTTGTTTAACCGTGTGACAAGTGCCACAAAACCACTCGATGACAAGCAAACCACCTTTTCAGCACGGTTTAAATCAAATACATTAACAAATACTTCTTCATTTCGCAAATCTGCAGTCCTCCCCTTGTAGTGGATAATAATGAGGCTACAACAAAACAGATGCTAGATGTCAACTTGTAGAAATTCAACTCTGATATACAAACACACCCTGCCATGAACTCATAAATTGGCCTGAAGTAACATTTTCAAGTTCTGATGGTCACGTTTACAGTCTATGAGGATATAATGTGCAGATACAGAGAGAAAAAAAAGAAAAGAACTAAAATTCCGTAAAAACTGGCATTTCTTGACACAATAATTGACAAATTAATATCATATTGCATGTAAATATTGTATAAAACTATTAAAAATACAATTTAGACAATTAAGTCTTTGAGTCAACAAAGCCAAAAGTGCAGAGGTACATAAATAAAAAAGAACCCCCTCAAATAATGTTTAAAAAACAGCAACAACAACCGGGTGTGCTCTTTTCAGAGCTGCCACTCAAGTTCACTGAACTCAACCCCCTTTGCCTCGTGTCCCACCTCTTTATGACACGCTGACCTGAACCAGTATCCGGTCAAAGGTTAAAGTTCACACACCAAGAACTGGGAGTCAAAAGTTCACACACATGACACTCAAGCATTCTCTCGCTGAAAACCGCACAAATATGCTAAATCAGTACAAAGCCATAAACATTTTTGTTCGTTAACATTCAGGCGAATCAGCTGGAGATTCAAAACCCGTGCAAACGACACTCCCAGACTCTCGCAGGGTGAAGTTAAGGGCATGTGGTCTGCAGCTCAGGCCACGGAGCCTCTTAAAGCTATTAGCATAACAATGGACACAGAGGTGAAGTCAGTGAAGTCGAGATATAGTCGCTCTGAGAGAGAGTCAGAGTCAGAAGCACAGTCAATCTACAGACTGCTGTTTCAGGGGCCACATGAGAGGAAAACAGCGCATCTCGTCCTTTTCTTTTGTCTCTCCCGCTTAGTCTAATGAATAAACCAGATATGATGACAGAAAACACTGAGATCAACACAGATTTCCAAATACTTTCACAAGCTGCACTAGCAATGCACGACATTTAAGTTCTAAGGCCCGTTTGGCGAACACATAAATGAGGATTGATACATATTGGCATACAAATCGGAATCACCCTGGGACGATATCCAGGGATCCCACATATACAGAAAGATTGACTAAAGTCGGAGTGAAAGATAACACTGCTGTAATTCCTAAGAGCACAAATGAGATGGTGTGAAAAAGGCACTAAGACTAGCCCTAGAGGATAAAAAGCGATACATTCATGGCGTGCGGGGCTTCCTTTTCCGACCACAATCAAAAATACCTTGAAAAACATTGGTACAAAAATAAAATATAAAAGGTTGCAACCCTTGATGCATCAGTGCGTATGGCTACAGGGAGACTTTTTTTTCTTTCCGGCTGATTCGAATATGACCCTCTAGCAGTTCTGGCCCCGTTAAGAAGAGAACTTTCTGTCCAACAGGATATTGAGGAGGAGAGAAGAAGTGTTGTAGTGTTGATACATAGCTGCACTTCCTCCTCAAAATACTGTACGTTTCACTCCTTTTCGTGATTTCCCACTGTTTTATTTCCTGTGAACAGATTTTCACCTTTTGCAGCCCTCTCTCAGGACAAAAGAAGTGAAAAAGGGCAGCCCTCCCCCTCCCCCCAGTCTCGATGGACTTCCTGTCATGTGGCGGTGGCCTCCAGGTAGCTCTGTAGTTTACGGACAGTTGACTCATCCAATGAGAAAAGGTCAAAGTCAAAAGTTGTGTTGGTGACATTAAAGTGTCCGGTCTCCTCAATGAGGTTCACAATCTGGAGGCAGGAAACGGGTCAATGGTTTTTATTTAAAGCCTTTACACAAACGCAAGCTATTTCAACTCACACGCAAACACCCACCTGCTGTAGAACGTTACGCTCTCTTAATGCCATCAGCCTGCGATGAAGGTCTACCAGCTCTTCAGTGTACGCCTGAAAAAGAAAAGAGGAGAGGAAGATGTCAGGAACAAGAGAACAGAAGGTCTGGTTTTACTCTAAAGACACATATAAACACATAAAAGCTTATATTAGCACTGAAACTATTAACATCACCCATAGTTTTACAAACTATTAGCAACATGATGTCTTGCATTGTGCACTGACTGAATGGACCTTAGGTACAACACTAGTGAACTGCCTCCGGAGACGGAGGTGTAAAAGAAAAAAAAAAACTTTTTTAAATTAAATTAAATAAATAAATCAATAATACAAGCCATTGTTTCTATTATATAATAAAAGTAGTTGTTATTGTATTTCAAAACATGCCTTATTAAAAATAATAATAATAATAATACGAACCATTGTTGCTATTATTTAACAATAGTAGTTGTTGTTGTTGTATTTGTATTTAATGTATTTTATTTCCATAATATTTTATTGAAATTCAACATATTACATAATTTTATTTACTAGAATTTAATTATTTCTATTATTATTATTATTATATTACAAATTTAATTGTATTTTTAAATTATATAAGAAGAAAAAATGCTGTTTTTAATAATAAAAGTAATGGTTGTTATTATATTTTTATGCATATATTTTTTACTGTAATTTAATTACAATTTTGAATTAATAACAGTTATTATATAATTTACTTACATAATTTCCTACAATTTAATTATAATTTTAACTTATAAAAATGATAGCAATAAGAACGATATAAATTATTATTGTAGCGGCTTTATTACTATAATTATTATTATATTCATATCTGAAAAAATATGTTTAAATCTGATTAAACAATATTAATTGAAAATTTTGCTGTTATGCATTTATTTATGCTTATTAGAGTATCAGACTTTCCTGGAGCTCAGTAGAGCATGGCACTAGCAACGCCAAGGTCATGGGTTTG